AGAGCTCATCCTGACTCTGCTTACAATTAATTCCAGTGCTAGAACAGAATTGCCACAGATCTACAATCTTTCATATCATACAGAAAGTCTGCTCTTCCCTCACTGAGAAAGTCTTTGTGTCTGCTGATGAACTTGGAAAAATATCAAGATATGCATATAAAATACTTAAGTAACTGCGGGCCTTACTTCTGTAATATATTTTATTCCTACTCTCTCCATATTGTTCAGTTTTCTCACTTGTGTTGTCTGCAATTTAGACCCTGATCCTGCAATAAGCTCAGTACAGGCAGGTCCAGGTGTGTCTATACAGAGTCTCATTAAAGTCAAGGAGTCTCTTTGGAGGACTGAAGATGATGGAAAGCCTCCCATTGACTTCTGGTCAGGCTGGGCCCAATCAGATTAGGTAAGCACTCTGTAATGTATGCATTCATGATAAGCAGGTATTTTAATACCTGGAATGTGAGTATAAAAATCCACATAACCATTTGGTGTGCAAGTTACATCTGCCCTTTTGCTTTGTTGTCTAGTGCTTTGTGTTGGGCTGATTGTGTCTCTCCCCATTTATGAGTCTTTATTTTAGACTTGCTGTGTTTTGAAATTGAGAATCTCTCAGTGCTATTTACACACAGAAGTAAAAGCCCATGTAGTGCCCTGAATATGTGAGTAAGGGTTTCAGGATTAGTCCCATGCTTTCCACAGCAAAAGTAACATACAAGCAAACCCAATTGTACAGAAACACTTTGAATAACAATGCTAGGGATAGTGCTTTCAATTTTTAAATAGTCTGGGATCTTTTTCTGTGATAGATCTATTCTTTTTGATGTTAGCTACATATATCGCTTTGCCTCCCAGGTGAGCTGGTAAAGTTTGAGTACGTGTTGGTTGTATCTCTATTGAAAAGCTGCTTATAGTTCATCCAAGTTATTTTTGCTACACTAATTTATCCCTCCACAAATTATCCCTTGTTAGGGGGAAGAGGGGGAAAAACACAGCTAGTGAGGAACATTTTCCATTGGTCTTGCCAAACCTGTTAGGGAACGTTCCACTTATTCTTCCAAAGCTAATGTTTACCTTTTCTAATACTCCTGACTCTTTTCCTCTGAAGACCTAATATTTTAAAAGTTTTACTTATCACGTTAAAAGTATTCCTATGCCTGTGTGTGTTATGTATTCATCGCTTGCTCTGATTTCTAGGTTAAATACGAAAAGGCGAGAAATCATTTGAAAACATAATGATAAGAATGAAATGCTTGCCAATCTCTTTTAGCATGTGCCTGCCTTATGCACTCTACCTTATTATAGGATATGTATGGAAAAAAAATACATATTCATGGCAATATATTGCTATTTTTTAATTGTGACCTTTGCTTCATGAACAAAGATTTTACTTTATTCAGTAACTATATTCTCCAAATCCTAGTTTTAAAATTATTAAAGGAAAATGAAGTGCAGTGTTTGGGATTTTTGCATAGTCAATGTTACTTTTGCAGGCCATTAGCACATAGTGGAAACTATTTTGGGTAGAAAAAATAAACATAACCCAAGTTATTTAATTTCAAAGTGGTTATTATGCACACACAATCTCTCATTCTCAATATAATATTCACATGCATTTTTGATATATGATTGACTTTCCATGCACAGGCATTCAGCAGGAAAGCATATCAGGGTTTGAAGGGACCTCAGGAGGTCATCTAGTCCAACCCTCTGCTCAAAGCAGGACCAATCCCCAATTTTTGCCCCAGATCCCAAATAGCCCCCTCAAGGATTGAACTTGCAACCCTGGGTTTAGCAGGCCAATGCTCAAACCACTGAGCTATCCCTCCCCCCAAATCTCCCTCTCCCTCTGCAAAAGAAAGATCCTATTGCAAAGTAATCTAATCTTAAATATTAGAAAACAGAATTGACCTCTAAAGACCCACTATGGTCTAATGAGTAAAAAATTTCCGTTTAAAACTAAAATCCTATTTTGTATACCTGTATATACCTCAAACTGCTCTGTGCAATCTCTCTGTACAACTATACTGTTTGATAGACAAAATAAGTAAACAATTTATTTAAAAATCCATAAATGAAGATATATATGATAGCCTATTATACTTCCAATATTTCTTATAAACTATTATAAAACTATGCATTGAAAAGAAAAAAATTAAACATGAAATTTATATATGAGAATACCTTAGTATTATAAACCTTGTAACAAGTAAAGGTTGGAAATTCAGAGTTAAGTCTCAGACTGTTCCATAACTCATCCTATTCGGATCCAATAGAGTACAATATCGGGGGTAGCTGTGTTAGTCTGTATCCACAAAAACAACAAGGAGTCCAGTGGCACCTTAAAGACTGACAGATTTATTTGGGCATAAGCTTTCGTGGGTAAAAAAACACTTCTTCAGATGAATGGAGTGAAAATTACAGATGCAAGCATTATGTATTGACACATGAAGAGAAGGGAGTTACCTCACAAGTGGAGAACCAGTGTTGACAGGGCCAATTCGGTCAGGGTGGATGTACTCCACTCCCAATAATAGATGAGGATGGGTCAATTTCAGAAGAAGCAAAGCTGCTTTTGTAATGAGACAGCCACTCCCAGTCCCTATTCAAGCCCAAATTAATGGCGTTAAATTTGCAAATAAATTTTAGTTCTGCTGTTTCTCTTTGAAGTCTGTTTCTGAAGTTTTTTTTGTTCAAGTATAGCTACTTTTAAATCTGTTATGGAATGTCCAGGAAGATTGAAGTGTTCTCCTACTGGCTTTTGTGTGTTACCATTCCTGATGTCCAATTTGTGTCCATTTATTCTTTTACGTAGGGATTGTCCAGTTTGGCCAATGTACATGGCAGAGGGGCATTGCTGGCACATGTTGGCATATATTACATTAATAGACATTCAGGTGAATGAGCCTCCGATAGTGTGGCTGATATGGTTGGGTCCTCTGATGGTGTCACTAGAGTAGATATGGGGACAGAGTAGGCAATGAGGTTTGCTACAGGGATTGGTTCCTGGGTTAGGGTTTCTGTGGTGTGGTATGTAGTTGCTGGTGAGTATTTGTTTCAGGTTGTGGAGCTGTCTGTAAGCGAGGACTGGCCTGCCTCCCAAGGTCTGTGAGAGTGAGGGATCATTTTCCAGGATAGGTTGTAAATCATTGATAATGTGCTGGAGAGGTTTTAGCTGGGGGCTGTATGTGATGGCCATTCTTAAAACTACAATAGCCACCTGGGGAAGTGAGGAAACAGATTGACAGAGCGAGACAGGTACGCAGAAATCACCTACTACAGGACAGGCCCAACAAGGAAAATAACAGAACACCACTGGCCATCACGTACAGCCCCCAGCTAAAACCTCTCCAGCACATTATCGACGATCTACAACTTATCCTGGAAAATGACCCCTCACTCTCACAAACCTTGGGAATTGGCCCTGTCAGCACTGGTTCTCCACTTGTGAGGTAACTCCCTTCTCTTCATGTGTCATTATATAATGCCTGCATCTGTAATTTTCACTCCATGCATCTGGAGAAGTGTTTTTATACCCATGAAAGCTTATGCCCACATAAATCTGTTAGTCTTTAAGGTGCCACTGGACTCCTTGTTGTTTTTATAGAGTACAATAAAATTTCTACAGTGCCCTTTGTGCTAATACCTTGTCAGGGGTGGCAGGTTTGTATAATTTTTGGTGGTGCCCAGAATCCGCCCCTGGCTGGGGCTGGGGGTTTGGGGTGTTAGAGAGGCTCAGGGTTGGGGCAGAGGGTTAGGTGCAGGGGGGATGAGGGGTCTGGCTGGGACTGGGGATAAGGTGTTTGGGGTGTTGGAAGGGCTCAGGGCTAGGGTAGAGGGTTAAGGCTGCAGTGGGGGGGGGGGTGGTGAAAGCTCTAGCTGGGGGTGTGGGCTCTGGGGTGGGGCAGGGTGTTGCCAAGAAGGCCAATGGCATTTTGGGATGTATAAGTAGGGGCATTGCCAGCAGATGGAGGGACGTGATTGTTCCTCTCTATTCGACACTGGTGAGGCCTCATCTGGAGTACTGTGTCCAGTTTTGGGCCCCACACTACAAGAAGGATGTGAAAAAATTGGAAAGAGTCCAGCGGAGGGCAACAAAAATGATTTGGGGACTGGAACACATGAGTTATGAGGAGAGGCTGAGAGAACTGGGGATGTTTAGTCTACGGAAAAGAAGAATGAGGCGGGATTTGATAGCTGCTTTCAACTACCTGAAAGGGGGTTCCAAAGAGGATGGATCTAGACTGTTCTCAGTGGTAGCAGATGACAGAAAAAGGAGTAATGGTCTCAAGTTGCAGTGGGGGAGATTTAGGTTGGATATTAGGAAAAACTTTTTCACTAGGAGGGTGGTGAAACACTGGAATGCGTTACCTAGGGAGGTGGTGGAATCTCCTTCCTTAGAAGTTTTTAAGGTCAGGCTTGACAAAGCCCTGGCTGGGATGATTTAATTGGGGATCGGTCCTGCTTTGAGCAGGGGGTTGGACTAGATGATCTCCTGAGGTCCCTTCCAACCCTGATATTCTATGATTCTATGAGGGCTGGGGATGAGTTTGGGGTGCAGGCAGGCTGCTCCGGGACAGAGGCCAGAGAGGAGGACTCCCCCGAGCCCTTTCCCTGCCAGCAGCAGCGAGCTCTGCGGGAGGAGCCCCCCTTACCCGCCCCCCGAGCAGCTCACTCACCCCCACCACTGTCCCTGCATGTGCTCCTAGGGCCCCTCTCAGGTCCAGGAATCTCCCTCGCTTCCCCTGTGGTGGGTGCCAGGGGGTGCTGCGTGTGCCTCCTCCTCTGCTGTTGCCCCTGACTGTAGCCTCACTGGGGCTGAGGGATGGGGCTGCCTCCTTGCCCAGCATGGGGCAGGAGTGGTGACTGCGGGGGGGGGCCCTGTGCTGGTGGAGCATCCCGCCAGAAAAGGGAAGGGTCTGAGGTGGAAGGGCAAGCTCAGTCAGTCTGTCCTGACAGGGAAGATGCGGGGTGCTAGGACCATGCGGCAGCAGTTGTTGCAGGGAGGCAGCATGGAGCTGGTCGGAAGAGGCAGCCAGGGACGGAAGAGACAAAGGCAGGGACCCTCTGCTCCGGGGTCCGGGGAGGTGCGTGGGGGCAGCAAGTGGGGGCCGGGGGACACTTGTGGGGGGAGGGGTGGCAGGTGGGCCGGGGGGGCACACCTGGCCCCAAATATTGGTGGAGATGGGCCCCTGGGCTCTAAATATTACTGGTGCCAAGGCACCACGTGGAGATATAACTCGCCGCCCCTGTACCTCAGAGCACTTTACAGTGGATAAAGTTAAAATTAGCAACATAGCACTCAATTTCCTAAAGACATTATTTTAGAAAAACTAAGTAAAATCAATGCCTTAAATGTTTGAATTTAAAATCCTAATGACTGGAACTCTCTTTATTTCAACTGGCAATGTGTTCCAAATCTAGTGAACAAAATGGCTGAAGGCTTTATGGATTTATATCATCAGAAAAATGATAGTTTTATCAGTTACAAAATTCAGGGTGCATACGGATACCAACAGAGAGCAGATCTGTTAAGTAGGGAAAGCCATGCAATGCCCTGTATGTCAAATAATAAAGTAAGACTGTTTGCATTTCTATAACATGTTCCATATAAGGATGTCAAAGTGCTCACTGTATTAGTTCCGAGGGAACAAAACAAAGTATTTACTAATTTGCAGTAATGTGCTGAGAAGAGAAATTTTGTGTATGTACTCAGTGCAACCTTTTGCTAAACCATCTGCCAGTTAGATATGGTAAGGAATGGCTTGTATAGCATGGCTGTGTGCTAGCTAGGCTTGTTATAAGTGCTTATGATAACCTCCTTCCCTTGCTATCTCGCCTGTGGGGCCCAGTCTGGTAGTCTTTCTCAAAGGCTGCCTTAGAGCATGTCTACTGGACCAGATTCCACACAGAACACAGCCAGAGAAGGAAGAGGTGGTGCCCCCTTTGTAACTTTAGCCCAGCGGGTAGAGCCATCGTCGGCTATCCCTCGATACGAGGATGATGTCTACCAGGAGGAAAAAAGTCATTGATGGACTTAAGATGGCTGAGGAGTCCAATCTGTGCTCTAGGTTTTTCCACATATATAACAGATGGTTGCTTGGAGAGAACACAACTGATGGACGGGATGCTGTACACTTTCCTTCCTCCTCTGCCATTTATCAGCCTCTTGAGCAAGATGATTCACTTCAAAATGGGCTGATGCTTGATGTATGATGCAACACCATTACAATCTATTGCCAGCCAATTCTTCCCAATTCATGGGGTCAATGAATGTACATTTTTAAGATGTACTTTCAGGGTGTCTTTGTAGTATTTCCTCTGCCCTCCATGAGTCCTCTTACCATGACTAAGTTGAGAAAAGAGGACTTGCTTTGGAAGACAAGTATCAACCATCCACACACAATGGCCAGCCCAGCGAAGTTAATGTTTCATAATCTTCAACTCAACACTGGTGATGTTAGCTGCAGAGAGAATGTTGGCCTTGGTGCGATGGTTTTCCCATCTGATACAGAGAATCTTCCTAAGGTAGCGCTGTTGGTATCACCCCAGACACTTAAGGTGGCTTTGGTATGTCACCCATGTCTCACACCATAAAGAAGAGTGGGGATGACTACTGCATTGTAGACCAGAATCTTCGTTTCCATCTGCAGATCTCTGTCAATAAAGACATGATGGAGCAACTTTCCAAAGAATGCACTGGCACAATGGATCCTATGTTCAATCTCCACATCAAGATTGGCTGTCTGGGAGAGGTGGCTATCAAGGTAAGGGAAATGCTCAGTGTTTTCCAGGAGTTCACCACTGATGACAATTTGTGGGAGAAGGGGGCAACTTGTGCTGGGGCATGCTGGTGAAGCATCTTAGTCTTCCCAATGTTGAGGGAAAGTCCCAGGCTATGATAGGCATCTTCTAATGTGGATTGCAAATCAGCCTCGGTGTGTGTGAGGACAGCACAGTCATCCGCATACTGAAGGTTGGTAATAACAGTCCTGGTGACCTTAGTTTTAGAATGAAGACACCACAGGTTGAAGAGCTGGCCATCCATGTGATACTCAATCCCAATTCCAGAAGAAAGGTGGTCATGAATAAGAATCAAGATCATGGCAGGATGGATGGAAAAAAGGGTTGGGGGAATAACACAGCCCGGTTTGAAACACCAGTATAGAGGGTGAGTGGGTCCAGCTCCAACCCACTACAAAAGATGGTGGTGGTCATCCCACCATGAAGTAGCCTGAGAACGCAAATGAACTTCAATGGACAACCAAACCTAGACATCACAATTCCATAATGCTTCATGACTGATGGAATCAAAGGCCTTAGTTAGGTCAATAAATGCCATAAACAATGGCTGGTGGTGTTCTCTACACGTCTCTTGGATCTGTTGTGCAACAAAAGACTTGTCAGTGGTTCCCCAAGATAGACTCTGAAATCATGTTGGGATTCCAGAAGGACATCTTTGGCAAGAGGGAAGAGATGCTTCAAAAGGATACAAGAGAGGATCTTCCTGGCAATGGAGAGGAGTGCAACGCCTTGGTTCCCTTTCTTAAAAATGATCACAACAAATATTGGCATTCTTTAGGTTGGACGGTTAGAGCACTCCTCCAGGAGGCAGGAGATCCAGATCCAATTCCCCCCTTCTGCCAGATACGGAGCAGGGATTGGAACCTACATCTCCAACCTCTCAGAAGAGTCCCCTGGCCACTGGGCTTTGGAATACTCAGGGGTAGGGTTCTTTCAATCTCTTCTGTTGAAGATGTTGCACTTTGTATAAATAATTAAATAGTTATTAGCCCAGAGAAAATATTAGAATGATTAAGTTATGAAGAGTTAGAATGACAGAGAAAGAGTGTCCAGTAGTTAGGATACTCTCTTTGGATGTGGGACACCCAAGTTCAAGTCCTCATTCCACTATTTAGAAAGTGAAATTGACAAGAATATTCCAGGTGGGAAGCTGAGCAAGTTGAAAAAAATTCATTTTGGTTTGCCTAAACCAGATTTTCTGGAAATACTGTCTCACAAAAGAGTTTGCTTTTCAACAATTGGAATGAATTTTTTTTTTTAAAAAGTGAATTTTTCATGCTAAAGGATTTCTATTTCTGGTCAGCTTTATTAAGGACTATTGAGGCATTTTACAAGTGGATACTGAAGGAAATATCTGTCTTCTGATAGCCAAGCTTCCATCTCCAAGATATTTTAAATATTTTTATATTGAGTTAGATAAAACAAAAGTTAGCGTGTAAGTTTCTGCTACATCTAGCAGAAACAAACATATCAGTTTAACAAGGAAATAAACATGGACATTCAAAAATATTGAATTCAGCCAGGGATTCCAAGGCTTGTTTTAAGTTTTTGGGCTTTTTCTTATTCTGTACAGCAGTACTATATTGACTTTACCCTGCAAGCCCTCTGTAACCCATTCTGCATGATGAGTGTTTTAGATGATTGTCAGTGTCAGGTTATGCGGTTTGGGGCACACAAGGAGAGGATATTTAGAACTTTCTGCATGATGCTGACTACTCATTGAAACACAGAACTCAGAACTGAAAAAATACTAATAGGACACCCAGTTCAGGACCCTGCTAAATGCAGAATTGTCCCTTGTAGGTCTGAGCCGATGTCCATTGAAGTGAATGGGAGTCAAATCAGACCCTGTCAATGTTCCTTCCCCACTCTGAACTCTTGGGTACAGATGTGGGGACCCGCATGAAAGACCCCCTAAGCTTATTTCTACCAGCTTAGGTTAAAAACTTCCCCAAGGCACAAAATCTTTGCCCTTGGACTAGGGTATGCTGCCACCACCAAGCGCTTTAACAAAGATCTAGGGAAAAGGACCACTTGGAGTTCCTCTTCCCCCAGCAATCCCTCCAAGCCCTTACACCCCCTTTCCTGGGGAGGCTTGAGAATAAAGAAGTTGAGCACAGACCAGCTTGGGTTTCTTAGGACCCTAAAAATCCAATCAGATTCTTAAAAAACAGAACTTTATTAGAAGAACAAAACAAAGATAAAAGAAAACACTCTGTAAGATTAGAATGGAAGATAATCTCACAGGCAGTCAGATTCAAAACATAGAGAATCCCTCTAGTTACAAAAAGACACAAACACAGGAATACACATTCCCTCCAGCACAGCGAATTTACAAGCCAAAACAAAGAAAACCTAACACATTTTCTAGCTAGATTACTTACTAACTTTACAGGAGTTGGAGGACTTGCATCCTTGATCTGTTCCAGCAAAGGTAGCACACAGACAGATAAAAGCCTTTTTCCCCCCCTCCAGATTTGAAAGTATCTTGTCCCCCTCATTGGTCATTTTGGGTCAGGTGCCAGTGAGGTTACCTTAGCTTCTTAGCCCTTTACAGGTGAAAGGATTTTGCCTCTGGCCAGGAGGGATTTTATAGCACTGTATACAGAAAGGTGGTTACCCTTCCCTTTACACTTATGACAGACCCTATATTCTAATATTTTGTACAGTCTAGTTTTAAATGTGTCCCAGACAATGGCTTATAGCTTATAGCTTATATATTTTGCTGTTCAGAAGGTTTTTCTGATAGGTAAGCTATTCTATCTTTCTTTCTTAGACCTAAGGCCCCCTCTAAATAATTCCCTCTCATTTTTGGTGTTTATTTGTAGATAGTCATCCTGTCCCTCTTTAGTTGTCCTTTATGGAAATTGCTCATACAACAGTCATCATGGGGAACATTTGTAGCTTGTCCCTACACTTAGAATAGGCAATAGTACGCTACTCCCAGCTGTTGTGCTGACTGATAATGGGCTTGCACAAATAATGGTCTTGATTCAGGAGAGCACTTAAGTATGTGCATAATTTCCATTAATTCAATGGGACTTAAGCACATGTCCTGAATCAGGGCCAAAGAGGAAAACAAAGGAAAATTCCTAAAGTTATAAATGTAATAAACATTAAACAGTGTTGCAAATATATCCATCTCTATATATCTATCTATACTGGGAGATAAAATTTATTTTCAAGCTTTTTAAGAGCATTGTAAGGAATCATCATCAAACATGCATAGTCTACTGGGGACCATTGTGTCTGCCAGAGTGATCGCAGTTGATGGCATGGCACC